TATTTTCTTCCTACTACTCTTGGAATTTGTTCTTGTTTTTCTAGTTCCTTTAGGTGCAAATTAGGCTGTTTGGGAATTTTGTTTCTGTTTTCTTTTCCTGTAGGCTCTTTATCACTGTTTGCTTCTTAGAACTGCTTTTGCAGCATCCCATGACTTTTGGTATTTTGCATTTCCATTTTCCTTTGTCTCAAGTTTTTTTTAAGTTTTCCTTTTGATTTCTTCTTTGACCCATTTGCTGTTCAGGAGAATGTTGTTTAATCTCCACACATTTGAGAATTTTCCAGTCTTCCTTTTATACTTGGGCTCTAGTTTCCTACCATTTTGGTCAGAGAAAATGCTTGATTCGATTTCAAACTTCTTAAATTTATGAAGCCTAACATATGATCTACCCTGGATAATGTTCTATGTGCATTTGAAAATAATGGGTATTTTTCTGCTTTTGGATGAAACGTTAAGTCCATCTGCCCTTATGTGTTGTTTAAAAGCCCAGTGATTACATGACATGTTTTCCTATCCTTAAGTGTGAGACTACCTGTGTCCTTATGGCTGAAGTGAGTCTCATCAGTAGCATATAGTTGGGTCTTGTTACAATTTACATCTTTTTATCTTGTATATCCATTAGGAAATTATTGTAGTTCATTACGGTCTCTTTTGTCTTTTAACCTTCACAACTAGATTTGTAAATGATAAACTCACCAGCATTAGAGTATTCCACATTAACTATATATTTACTTTTACCAGTGAGATTTATATTTTCATGTTTTCCTCTTACTAATTAATGCCATTTTGTGCATGCTCAGTCATGTCTGACTCTTTGTGACCCCATGGATTATAGCCCACCAGGCTCCTCTGTCCATAGGATTTTCCAGGTAAGAATACTATAGTGGGTTGCCATTTCCTTTTCCAGGGGATCTTCCTGACCCAGGTATCGATCTTACGTCTCTTGCATTAGCAGGCAGATTCTTTCCACTGTGCCACCTAGGAAGCCCTAGTGTCATTTTAGTTCAGCTTAAAGAGCTCCCTTTAACATTTGTTATGAGGCCTGTCTAGAGGTGATGATGACCTTAGCTCTTGCTTTTTAAGAAAACTCTTCAATTCTGAAGGAAAACTTTTGCCAGTTGTTTTCCTTTCAGCACATTGAATACACCGTGTCACTCCCACCTGGCCTGCGAAGTTTCTGCTGATATATTCATTTATAGTTTTAGTGTGGTTCCCTTGTATGGAACAATTTTTTTTTTTTCTCTTGCTGGTTTTAAGATTCCCTTTTGCAATTTAATTATAACTTGTCTTAGTATGGGTCTCTTTAGATCGTATTTAGAACTTTGAGCTTCCTGGATCCGGGTGTCTTTCTCCAGGCTAGTAAAGCTTACAACCACTTTCTTCAAAATTTTCCTTCCCTTTCTCCCTTTCCTTTCTGGGACTCCTGTAGTGCAAACTCTGTGTTGCTTGATGGTGTCCTATAAGCTATCTTCACTCTTAACTCTTTTACTTTTTGCTGCTCTGAATTCCACCATCTGGTCTTTGACTTCACGTAATTTTTCTTAGTCTACTGTTGATCCCTCTATTGAATTTTTCAGTTACTGTACTCCTCAATTGTGTAATTTTTATTTGCTACACTTTCTATTTCCGTGCTGACATTCCCACTTTGTTCATGTGTCAGGGAGTACCTTTATGGTAATAGTTAGCATTTATTTCATTAAGATCTTTTTCTGAAGTTTTCTCGTGTCCTTTTGTTCGGGACACAGTCCTGTTTCTTCACTGTCCTGACTCTGTTGGTTTCTCTGCATTAGGTAAAACCACCTCTCCTAGTTTTAAAGGAGTCCTTTTGTGTAGATTAACCTTATCAACGATGGCCTGGCCCTTGCCTCTAACACCTGTGTGATCATTCAAGCAGACTTTTTTCCTCAGTGGCTCTCCTTAGCGGAGGTGTACCAAGACCTATCAGTGTCCCAAAGGGGAGGCTCTCATTCAGCACTCGGATGCAGGCTGACTGGAAGCTGTATTCTCAGGCAGCGGACTGTAGAGTATACCAACAGACCACTTTAGGGGAAGACTGGGCGATGGTCTTGGCTCTCTTTGCACTGAGGCTTGAAGCGACAGCGCAGTATGGACTGTTTGCTACAGTCCTGCAGGCTCCACAAGCACCGCTGCCACCAGCGCCGGGTGAGCAGTCCTGTGAGTGACAGCCGCAACAGCTGGGGCGCCAGGTGTTTGCAGAAGCTCCTTCCAGGAAGTTCTGGTGATCTGGTGTGAGGCAGAGGGACAGCGCATGCCTGCACGCCTCTGTGGTCTCTGGAGAGTAACGAAGTGAGCCCCAAGGAGCCTGTTCCTCAGGCTAAAGCATTTAAGATAAGCAAAAAGGCCTGTTTTACATTAAGACTGGGCAGCTTCAGGATATTCCCTTTCGGCTAAGCCTTGGGGGATTAACCACTGTGAGTCCACACAAGCCTGTGAGGAACTGCTTCTCAGACTGCACTAGCTCTTGAGTCTGAAAGATGCAAGCCCTTGCTGGCTTTCAAAGCTCCATGTTTTAGGAGCCCATCTCTCCAAGTCTTAGAAGCTGCAGCACCAGCTGTGGGGTCCAAACCTTTCGATCCTTAGGAGAAACTTGTAGTCCTGAGATCCCCCCTGGCTGGGTCCCTGTGTCAGGTGGGGTTATGGTGAGAGCGTCTTCAGCCTCTCCTGCCCATTCCAATGTGGGCTTTTTCTCATCCACCTGATATGTAAAAAGTTACTCAGTTAGGTTCTGGATTTCTTTCAGAGAGAATGTTCTGTATGCAGCTCTTACTTAATTTGTCCGTGGGAGGAGGTGAATTTGGGAGTCATCTTGTCCTGCAACCTACTGATTAAAAAAAAATCCTTTACGTCCTCAAAATGTTTGGAATAGCAGTTATTTAATGAATTGTTCATCAGTAGTTAATTAACATATAACAATAATTTTGGTGAACATTAGCACAGACTCTGAACAGACTTTTGGCCCAGAGGGTGGACTGACGGAGAGCACGTTCCTGGGTTTTCCTCTCTCCTATGATGTCTGGTCATGACGACCAGTCCTTCAGTTCAGTTCAGTTCAGACTGTTAAATGTGCAGTTGTCTCAGGAGCCCTTGATGGAACAAGTTTCTCGACACACCAGGACCCTTCTGTTGGAACATTTTTTTTTCTACTGGGCTATTTTACTTATCCACTTTTGAATCTTAGGCAAACTACTTTAGAGCAGAACAGGCCTTTTCAAATATGATTACTAATTTTCAGAGCTGGCTGCTAAATAATCCACTCCAGTGACAAGATAATGCAGCCAAATGATCCAGACACCATATTTCAGGATTCATTATTGATATGGCCCTGTTTGACATCAGCCTCCATCCATTATTCTGGTGAGTTACTGCTTACAAAATATACCCATCAAGCAGACTGGATGACAGTACAGCTGTCTCTTGAATAATGTGGAGGTGAGGGGTGCCAACCTCGAGCAGAGTTAAACACCCATGTATAATTTCACAGAGTTGGCACTATATATCTGAAATTCTGCATTTGTGGATTCAGCCAACCATGGATTATGTACTGTAGAACCTCTTAATTGGATAAGATCTGCATGTGACTGAACCTGTGTTGAGTTGTTGAGTCACCCGTCATGTCTGACTCTTCATGACCTAAATGCAAATTGACTTGTTAAATATATATATATATGTATATATATATATATAAAGACTCAAGTCAGTAAATCACTAATGTTTTTATATATGATCAATAATTTATACTTAGCATGGTGGCTGACCTACACGACTTCATGCTAAGTCACCTCAGTGGTGCTTGACTCGGTGTGACCCTACGGACTGTAGCCTGCCAGGTTCCTCTTCCATGGGATTCTCCAAGCAAGAATACCGGAGTGGGCTGTCATTTCCTTCTCCAGGGGCTCTTCCCAACCCAGGGATCGAACCTGTGTCTCTTACATCTCCTGCACTGGCAGGTGGGTTCTTTACCACTAGTGCCACTTGGGAAGCCCAAAAATATGAATTTGCATGTCACTGTTGTGCAGTTGCCATTAAAACCTTTAATTCTGCCGGCTGTCTTTAAATACCCAATGACACTGGTATCATTGCAGAAAATTCTGATGTATGTCACTTTTATGATACATATTACTTACTATGTCTCCCAGGTAGCCCTGGCTTTTGAGCTAATTCCATAGGCACTTACTTAGGCCTAGTTATGGGATAGATAATAATTACTATTTCACTTACTGCCTAAAAGATGTTTCTCAACAAGTGAGTCTGGAATTCTTTATACAGATAACAGTACAGGTACCTGTAAGCTTGTTTACGGATTCTGTGTCAGAACTGTGAGCGTACAGACACCAAGGAGACAGGGCTAAGGCTTGTGTTTAGTTTACTTCTGCACACCCCTCAGTGTCCAGCATGGCACTTGTATGAGTTCAGTAAATATTACCAGAACCTCTCTAGGCATTCCATTTTGGAATTCTTGTAAAATCAAGTCAATTTGGAAAATCTTCTGCTGTTTGTAAATTTAATAATTGAAATGCACTTGCCATTACTAATCATAAGTTAAAAAAAAAGATGATGTAAGATTAAGGTTAGAAGTGGTGACTGTTCTATATGTGCTCACATGTATAAAGTGGAGTTGAAACAATATGGGAGAGAATATGAAGAATAAGGTTAGACCTGACAATGAAAAAAAAAAACTGATCACTTTTTGGATAAGTTGAAATTGTAAATTAAACCTTTATGAGGACATTTTGGGGAATGGGGTGAAGTGCTATTAAGAAAAACACCAAAAACTCTCCCAATATAATAAAGCATAATTCAAATAGGTTTTGGGGAAATCTTAAGTTTTTTAAATAATTTGTTGAACTCTTGATTAACTGGGATTTTTACCATTTCATATCCTCTGCAATATAACTAAATAACTACATGTTACAATGTTTTGTTAATGTGTAAGAAAAAAATAATTGGATTCTTTCAGTCTGAACTAAGAAATGAAAAGATCCCATTCTTATACTTTTATACTTGATTTTCTTACAGAAATAACTTCAGTTATTATGCCAATATTTACCTGAAAATGGCAGCCTCCAACAGTAAATAATTGAAATAACCACAGTATCATTATGAGCTATAGTGAAACGAACAAAATTTTTCCTTCTTGACTAATAAAGTTTGGAAGAGTGAAAAACAACTATGAAGGAAAAAAGGCAAATGTAAATAAAGGACACACATCAAAGCCCAGAAGCTAAAAATGAATTATTAGAAAGATGCTTCAAAAAATCAATTACCATCACAGGGAAAAACTATTATGAAAGCAGCTCAAAAAATAAATGAACACTTATCTTTAAAACATAGAAATACTTGAGATAGTTTACAATGCCCAGTTTACAATGCCCAGTTAATTACTATATATATATATATATATATTTTCCCCCTCAGGTATTTATGAATACTGTGTAAGTCAATAGGATTTGTTTACTTACTGTTAGAAAGTTTTTTTCTTATATGTGAAAAATTACAACCAATTCTTCAACCTTTAGAAAGATGGTTTTCCCACATTTTGAATGTTTTTTTAAATAATACATGGTCAGAACATCAATCTCAGAGATTTTTTTTAGAACAGGTGACTGAAAACCAAGTTCTCTTTACAGGTCAGCTACAAAACATTAAGTGATAAAATACACTTTAATCACTTAGGCCAGCTAGCCTAAACACCGTTCTGGGAGTCAGTAACCTGTGGCCCACAGGCTGAGTGTGGCTTGTGGCCTATTGGTACACAGCCCTGAGTCGAGAATGGTTTTTACATTTTTTAAAGGGTTGTAAACAAAACCAAACCAGAGAATATGTAACAAAGAACCATATATGGTCTACAGAGCCTAAAATATTTATGATCCGGCCCTTTATAGAAAAGTCTGCAGACCTTTCATTTATATCAATGTTGTACAGAATTCAGGCAGTGCAATTACAAGTCCAAGATAAGTTTCATTTATTCCCATCATGAATATAAGTAACTTTCTGAAAAGGTATCTTCTGATGTCATCTGTCGATTTCTTTTCAAGTTTTTCTTCATTTTCATCATTAAAGTTCGTCCTACAATAATAATGTAGAAGTGATTTAATTCCTTTCTCTTAAACATCTAATGTTAAAAGGTAAAAATAATTAACTGACCTAAGTTTTACTTTTTCAAAAATAATTAATATTCTTGTTTTATAGATCACATGGAAGTATACCTTGTCTAACCGTGGGAAAGGGTATCTCACAATTCTCTCTTGCCCATGGCATGTAATACAATTATTATAACTTACCACACTTTCAAAGTCACCCTCTGGCATGCTCTTTAACTTCATTTCAGTTATTCTACTTTTGACTAATAATGTTTGATTTCAAATGTCTAACTTGAGCTAAAAGTCAGAATTCTAAAGATAAAAAAACACAGTGAGAAAACTAACGAAACCAAAATGTCAGAAAAAATTTTTGTTCACGAAAATGGAAAAAATACTTTTATCTCTTTTAGATTTGGATAAAATAGAATTCTTGAAGTAGGCTGTAAAGCTTCGTAAGTGAGGGTCTATAGTTCTAACACGGCTCTATAAAGCCAGATTCTCTAGCCATCTAGCAGCTGTGTTATTCTTTTGTCCTTTCACCTTACAGGGTAAAGAATCCAAGAAACCTTATATGTGAATGTGTTAAATTCCATTCAGAAAGCACTCTAGCATTTGTAAACTGGTTGGTCTGTTTCAAAGTATGTCTTACAATGATACTGATTTTAAAAAAGGAAAACATGAATAGCCCTCTTTAGAAGGGCAAGAAAGAGGTTGTACTGCTTCTTGATAGATTAGTAATTCAAGGGGGTGGGACAGGTCAAGATGAACACGGATTCTAATATATCCTGACTATATCAAGAACAAAAGAAAACTTGCTCTCCCAAAGGTGTTTTGAGGCTCAATTAAATGTTTTTACATCTGAACAAATTATGATCATAGTTACTATTTTTCTGTTAAACAGTTTTACTTGTCCAAATTTCTAAGCATTTCAGAAGCTACATTCTGATTGTCAGTTTCCAAAGGAAAAGTTTCTAATCACTTGACTGTTTCTTGAAGCTTTGTTTTACTGTTTGATACATATACTGTACAGTAAGAATACATTTAAATAATGTTTGTCAAAGTCAGTTTTAGATTTGAGTCCTTACCTTATCTCTCTTTTCATGATTTTGGAGCTTTTCCAATTTTTCATATATTAAGGTAGCAATCTCTTTTGCATCTCTGGAATCTATTTGCTCTCCCCAAGTATTTCTCTAAAATTGAAAATACTCTTCTTATAATCTTTTAAGTATCTAATTAAAACATGGCATTTCCACCTGAGAAACTTGATTAAATGCTTAAAACTTAAACTTCTTCAAGGAAATGCTGCTGGCAAAAGCAATCAAACAATAACTTACCAGAAATAAATACTAACAATACTGTTATGGAAACATGTAAATTAATTAATTGGTTAAAATGCACTGCTAACTCCAAATGCCTCAAAACATCTAAACTGTATAAGAAAAGATGTCCCAGAGGACTCAAAACATTCTAATCTAAAGTCACTGGTTGGCACAGACAAAACTTGGACCAATTACAACAATGCAAAGCCATGTCTCTCCTGGTTCTCATCCGCCTATGGCAGGAAGGTGGCTGAAAAGCAGGGGGAAGGGTCAGGTCAATGCATCCGGGTCTGTCTGTTTAGGATCTGGAGTCGCCAGTTCCCTTCCTGGTGGAGCTTCACACTTCGATCTTTACTCTGCTATGGTCTTGTCTGCTGGACTTCTGGATTCTACCCCTGCCTTTCCATCTGCACATATGGTGACATCATGCTTTCAAACAGTTCTCTGTATGGCCGGTTAATTCTGTGACTGCTTATTATACTGATATTTCCCTAACATCATTCTACCTGAATAAGACACCTATTCATGTACCTAATTCTCAAGGTGTCTGAGAACTTGGAAGCCAGAGGAATGAAGATTCAGGCTCTGGTATAAAGTTCCTTTACTCTGAGTTCTGCTTACTCCCGGAATGTTGTTAAGACAGAGATACCTTCCTTACGTATCAGAATCCTTCACTGAAAAATGTGGGTTGTTTGACAAGTCTAGACTTCTGAAATTCGTCTAGTTTCTTTAGCTCTATTTCAAAATGTATTATAATCACAAATAAAAAGATCTTAATCTGATATACTTTCTCAAAAGGTACGTATTAAAACATTCGAAATTATTTATCTCAATGTTTTACCTGAAAATATGTATGCATAACTAATACCTGTCCATCACAGCTTTATTGTCAAAAATGTCTTAGTCTTTTACTTGGGAAGATAGCAAAGGTCATGAATCCTTTCAGTGAGCAGTTATACTGGCTGAAAGGTATACACTTTTGTATTGATGACCATAAAGACCCAGGTCTAATGGGTTAAATTGTCTTTAAAAAGAAAGTTAAAAAAAGCACAGTATCAGTGGCCCAAAAAAGAAATTATGAATGAATCACAAAATCCTAACTTTAATAGTCTAAACCATTAATGCATATTCTTCAAGATAAATTTTCAGGTACTAAGGCTATTTCAGAAGTATTATGACAGTATTCTCTTTTTCTTTTTCTTTCCTGGAAGAACTCATCATAAAGGTAATATATGTTAATTCTATAAAAATAGGAAACACAAAACTTCACAGAAAACAATTACCTTAAAGTCTACCACCCACACAAAACCACTATTAGTGTTTTGGTATGTCTATTTAGTAGTTCCCTATTCATGAGTACAGAAATTTTAAGGCACTGGAGACCATCGTATCAACCGCAAGGCAAAAAAAATTTTAAAATCACTTTGTGTACATGTGAAAAGCAGCTGTTTCAGTGGCATGCAGCGCAGTGAGAAATGACAAAAGGAAAGAAACTAGAAAACAAGTGTTACCTGCTAAAGAAAAGTGACACGGAGGGAGGTGTGTACATACCTTTGTCCTCTCATAAGGATACAGTCTCACAGTCGGATAGGCTCTGATACCAGCTTTCTGGCAGGTTTGAGCATAAGCCTGACAGTCTACTTTTCCAGCTTTCACTTTTCCTTTAATCGTCTGAAAAAGAAAAATATGCTTTGCTATTATTCTCTTTGGTATCTACTACTCTGGCAACCACAGAGCAATATGATACTAAACATTCTAGATATTTATAAATGCAAGGATCTGTTACTTTAAAAAAGCCCAAACCAAAACAACATAGTTTTAATCTTTTCCATTTAAGCAAGATTGCTTCCAAATTCTTACTAGCTCTGAACTCTTATTTACCTAGCACGGCCCCTCCCAGAGCAAATAAACTCTCCTTTGCCTTATCAAGGAAACTGAGAAGCTTCACCCTGAAGGGTCTCACCTTCTTCCTGTCGCCCACAACGCATCTGTCACACCACAAGCGTCTTGAGGCTCTGTCTTTCTGTGCCTCCAAGCTCTGCTCTCATCTGCTGAGGCGGGCAACTTCCTCCCACGGCTGGCTATGCCAACATTCTCTGGCCCCCTCCGCCAGAGTTCTTACCCGCTTGTTAGCATATTCTGCCGGTGTCGCTTAGCACATACACATGTGATCAAAAAAGAGTCCCCTCCTTAATGGCGCCGATTCCTCTGCCACCTGCTTCTTTTTTCTGAATTTATTCCTTGACCACGTCCCCATCATCTACTTATGATCAACACATTTTAGCTAGCTTCTGTTCTCAGACGGTTCCCTCTGTTGAAACTGCTGTAAGTTCATCACTGACTTCTATTTGACCAAACTCAGTGAACACTTTTCAGTCTTCTTAATCAGTGTCTGACACGACTGACCACTCCTTTCTTTCCTCTTTTCTTTCTTGGCACTTACCACTATTCTCTTGGCTACCCCTATTCCTCTGGTTATTGTTCTTCATTTCTAGCAAGGGGAACTCCTCCTACACCTGCCCCTCGAAATGTTCAACCACAGTTCTGTATTTCATCAGCAATTTTTTTCACTGTGAACAATCTCCCAGGGAGATTTTATATACCTATATGCTGCTGAACCCCAACGTTCCCTTGATTTCAGTCAACTATGTACTGGCCTGTATTACCTAAAGCACCTTAAAGATACCATTTCTAAAATGACTCCTTTCCCCCTTAACCTACTATCCCTTCTGTCCTACTATTCACTTAATTCAGGCCAGAGACTAGGGCCATGCTAGACTCCTTTTTCCCTACACTTATCACAAATAAACATGAACTAAATCCTAGTCTAATTCCTTTACAATCTCTCGTTTCTTGTTTCCGTGAACCTCCCGCGAACAGGTGGGCGGCAGTGGGTGCAACTGAGGGACTCTGGAGGGGCTCCTCTTTGGTATGGCCAAAGGCACTACTGGGCTTCCTTGGTGGCTTAGACGGTAAAGTGTCTGCCCGCAATGCGCGAGACCTGGGATCGATCCCAGGGTCGGGAAGATCCCCTGGAGAAGGAGATGGCAACCCACTCCAGTATCTTGCCTGCAAAATCCCATGGACGGAGGAGCATGGTAGGCTACAGTCCATGGGGTCGCAGAGAGCCAGACACGACTGAGCGACTTCACTACTTCTTCAAATCCTAGTCATTCTTATCTCTCATATTTGTTTAATTCTTTGTATGACCACTGCCATAATCCTGGTTCAGGTTATCACCTCTCACTTCAGGACAATTAAAACATCCTTGCTACCTCTAATTTTGTCCCCAAGGTTGGGGTAATAAAGGCAAACTAACTTGTGCCAGGGCAGCAGCAAGGCTGCATGCAGAAGCACGCACACATGCATTCGCACACACACGTGCACACACTCCCTCTCTCATACTGAAGGTCAGAGAATGCGAGCTGGCTTGTACTCTCAGTTACAGAAGGACACTACACTGCTTTTGGAGCTCTGATCTTTCTCTTGTCTTGACGGCCCAGGTTCAGTCCATTCAATGTGATCCTTCTACAACAGAAAAGGATCCTGACCGATCCAACAGTTCTCCTCCCATCTTCTACAGAATACATTCTGAACAGCGTGAGAGCGGTGAGGCGAAGTGTCCAGTGTGAAGAGTGCAGGCAAGCTGACCACACCACCTCCTCCTTGCCTCACTAAGAGCCTCTTTTGGCCACGCCCCGTTTGTCTTTATCCTCTGGTGACACTGGACCAACAGAGGAAGAGCCTGAACTTGCTCTGCGGTCTGTGTGTCCTGCATCTCTGCAAATTCTGTCTCCTGTGTTTAGAGGACTCCTGAGTCAACCCTTCCAAGTGCCACAGTCCTAGCCATACTGCGATTCCCACCGCCAGCACCCTTTCCCGTGGAGCCTCCGGCCTCCTGGTATGACTCTGACCTGCTCCCCATGCTTTCGTTTCGCTCTGATTTCACCATAGTAAAGATCCTACTGATTTATATGTCTTTGCATTTTACCTTCCCACTAGATTAAAATCTCATTTAAAAAACATGCAATTTTCATCTTTCCATTTTTTTCAGCCCTAATGTTTGGCATAGTGCTTTTTATTTGGTGCTCAGGATTTGCTGAATGACCCTTTAAATACTTTTCTGCTATATTCAAGATACAGCTGCATTACAAAATATGCTAAATTAAGTTTTTCAGTACTTAAGAGATAAGGGAATAAAACATTTTTGTTAGGATTATTGGAGAAAAAGAAGCACAGGAGCAAAAAAGATACGGTAAGTAGGAAAAAAAATGAATAACCTTTTATTTCAAAACCAGTCAATAACTGAAACAATCTCTTATAGCTCCATAGGAGTTTTGAAATCTCTTTGCTTAAAAAAAAAATTGCTCCTGCCTGGGACGCTCAGCTTTTGTTTCAGACTGGTGGAACTAGTGCTGGCTTTAGCATTCTAATGAACGTTTTGTAGCCAAGGCAAAATTCCTTGAGTACAGAGGTGGGGAAGCTAGCAATTTGGCTGAGGCCATTAATAGGATTTATAACAGAAATACCAAAATAAACTGCATTTACTTTAATTTTCTAAGTGTTTATCGAGTTAAGACATGGGATATACAGATAGGTAAGACATATACTGCTTTCAAGAAGCTCATAGTTTATAGAGGAGGCAGGTATAGTTAACATACAATGTATAAGCATACTGAAGGAGTACTGGGAAGGGGAGAGAATACAGAAATCCCAATGGAGCTGGGTTTTGTAGATTAGGGACAAAAAATAATCTAGATGACCAAAGTAAGGAAAACGCATTTTAGAGAGGGAACAGCATGGACATAAAAGCACCTGTTCAGAGAACCTGGAGCACTTTGCTGTGCCTGGAGTATAAGGTCAGGGAGAGGGAAAAAGCTAAAGGGGTCAGATTAGAGAGCTGTCATCAAGAAATGTCATTGAATGCATGTCAAGAGACGTGGCTAACAGAAAGCTAGAGAAGGCAATATTTCAGAAAGATCATTAGGGTGCAACTGAAGAAGGCAGGCTGGCAGTATGAGACTAGTTAAGAGGCTCATATAACTAAGTCTAGATGGTGAAGGCGTGAGCAAAAGGCCAGCAGAGGGACGACAGGTTTCAAAGAAGTAACTGAACTGACAGGATCTAGTGACTGCCTAGAGGGCACCGTGAAGAAAATAAAGAACAAGGGAAGAAGTGAGGTTTCTGGCTATTTTGCTTAAGTAGATGTTTTCAATCAAGATAGGTAGCTAGTTACAAGCTTTAGTGAAGAAGCAAAGAATCTACTGCAAAGATTAAAATCACAGAAATGGAAAAGAGTTTTTAAATTCAGAGGAAACTTTTAAGGAAAAAATTATTATTTACAAAATCTTATCTTATATTAAAACATGAGTGTGACTACAACTTATTTAAGTAGATATATAACTTACCCTAGCCAAGAGCTCAAACTCTGGAGCAAAGTTCTGGCAAGGTCCACACCAAGGAGCGTAGAAATCAACCACCCAGTGGTTTTTCCCCTGTAAAACCTTTTCATTGAAAGTCTGAGGTGTTAGATCTATAGATGCTTGAGGTAAAAATCTGTGACAAGGGATCAAAATTATTTATTATACAAAGTCAAAGCAAACATCTAAAATAGACTATTGCAAATCTTTATAAGTTAAAAAAAGACTTCAAAGAATGACAGTATAATAAAGCATAACCTTATCTTGGTAAATTATATTCTTTCCTAAGTGCTAGAAGTTTCCTAAGTAAGTGTTACTTTAAAGTGCTAGAACCATGTTACTTTAAAGTGCTAGAACCTTAACTGAGTAAATTTAGCCACAGACATAAGAGGAAGGTAAAAAGCATTGAATATAATTTATACAATTATACATAATTTAATTACTCACCCTAGACCCCAGATTCTTAGGGAATAAGCATCTCTATTCCAACCATTGTAACTACTGAAAGAAGAAAAATATGTAAGTTGTAAACAGTTATTTCTATTATTGCGTATGTTCAGAAAACAATCCCTTTGTAGCAATTTAAAAGTTTAGTTGACTGACTTCATTTAGCATCTCTTTTCTCAGATATACCTTAGCTGCAAATACTAAGCTTACATGGCTTTCCAAGCGTATTTTTCTCTAGTCTCGACGTTTTTTTTGGGGTGTGCGTGCGTGTGTGCTCAAAACAGACCTAAATGTTTAGATGTCTGCTGGACATCTCCCAGACCTATGGTAATGGCAAAACTCAAAATCTCCAAAGCTTTAGTTCTGAAACCTTTACCCCGGTTATTACAGTCCGTCAAATTCCTATCCACTTTTTAAGACACATGTCAAAAGGCACAGTGTAGTTCTTTCGCCCATTTTTTGATTGGGTCATTTATTTTTCTGGAATTGAGCTGCAGGAGTTGCTTGTATATTTTTGAGATTAAT